CTATCTGAGTTGTTACACTATGTCTATGGTAGCTATGGTGGCGGCCTATCTGAGTTGTTACACTATGTCTATGGTAGATGGGGGAATGTATGATTAACACTTTGTCTATGGTGGCGGCCTATCTGAGTCGTTACACTATGTCTATGGTAGATGGGGGAATGTATGATTAACACTTCGTCTATGGTTGCGGCCTATCTGAGTTGTTACACTATGTCTATGGTAGGATTTAGAATGCCTTATGGATAGTTAGTTTCCGGTTTAAAGCTACTGGGAGGGTTGTTTTCTTTTTGAAAGCTTCCAGAATATCATAGTTTTTGAATTGAATCAGCAGGCAGTATTTCAAAAACAAAAAAGATGGTTAAGTGTGTGCGAACTAAGTGGTTTTTTTCAATCTGTTGCTCAAAAAAAAGGTATTGTGTAGTGCCGCGGTATATATAGGGCCAGTTGTTGCATTTGTATGTTATAATCCATGCAGATTGAGTGTTTTAGAAGGAGTCACTATGACTGCTACTATCAAAGTTATCTTGCACCATTTAACAGCCCAGTGAGTCACAGCCACTGTTACCAAACGTGTAAAATCATTCCTCTATTTTGTCACACAGGGGCCTGGGAATTTGTTACAACAGCTATAGGGTTGGACCTAAACTGATGTGTTTGAGCTGACAACAAGCAGACGACTAAAATATCAGTTTATAGTTCCAAACAAAGCTGTTGTGATAAATTCTAGGGCCCTTGCGTTTGTCACTACAAAGAGACGAACACAACAGTTTAGGTACAAACATAACTGTTGCAACAAATTCTCGCGTCCCTGCGTTGTATCACTTAATAGAGACAAACATAATTATCGGGCCCCTATGTTTTTTTTCAACACAAAGTTTCTACATAGTGTTAATTGTCTAACTTCTTCCCATGATTTACATATCATTAGCATGCAGGGGCAATTATTTGTTGTATAATCTGCATATTTACCATATCATGTGCGATGAATTACGCCAACTGCCTCGCATGAAAAATATCAACAATTCTTCTTTTCAAATGGTCCATATAAAGCCCGTATCCGGTAAAGTATTCTACTTAAGGTAACAGGAACTTTCAAGGAAAATATAGTATTTCTATCGTTACTATCATGAAATATTTGTTAAAGTCCTTTTTACAGAATGTTTATGGATATTAAAGAATTGCAATTGCTCGAAATTTTAATAATTGGAAATAGAAATAAGAAATAAATAAAAAATTCGTCGAACTTAGGACTTTTAAATCCTACACTTTATCGTTGCTGATAACCAGGAATTATACATAAAACAACAACAAAATGAGATCCTAACATGTGTACCGCAAGAACAATGGGAAAAACTATGACAAGGGAAGCCACTCTAAGCCAGAAAAATATCTTTAGTGTTACTCCAAGTCAAAAACACATTGTAGTACTTGCTGGAACTCTAGCTTCTTCGCGATTGTATCTGATGCAGTGCTACCCTTTACCTTAAAGGCACACCTATTGAGCTTTATTACAGGGTTACAATGTACTAACCTACGTCACATCCGGAGCGGAGATCACGGACACACTGGGGATATTCGATCCTCAGATAACTCTTGTTAAATAAGTCATTATCAGTATGGAGAAGACAATGATCATGCTACTTTCCTCTGTGGTAATTACATATCAGATCGTACTACAGTCCCATGTGGTAGCTATATACTATAGGGGAGGCAAAGATCGGCCTACAGTCCCATGTGGTAGCTATATACTATAGGGGAGGCAAAGATCGTACTACAGTCCCATGTGGTAGCCATATACTATAGGGGAGGCAAAGATCGTACTACAGTCCCATGTGGTAGCTATATACTATAGGGGAGGCAAAGATCGTACTACAGTCCCATGTGGTAGCTATATACTATAGGGGAGGCAAAGATCGTACTACAGTCCCATGTGGTAGCTATATACTATAGGGGAGGCAAAGATCGTACTACAGTCCCATGTGGTAGCTATATACTATAGGGGAGGCAAAGATCGTACTACAGTCCCATGTGGTAGCTATATACTATAGGGGAGGCAAAGATCGTACTACAGTCCCATGTGGTAGCTATATACTATAGGGGAGGCAAAGATCGTACTACAGTCCCATGTGGTAGCTATATACTATAGGGGAGGCAAAGATCGTACTACAGTCCCATGTGGTAGCTATATACTATAGGGGAGGCAAAGATCGTACTACAGTCCCATGTGGTAGCTATATACTATAGGGGAGGCAAAGATCGTACTACAGTCCCATGTGGTAGCTATATACTATAGGGGAGGCAAAGATCGTACTACAGTCCCATGTGGTAGCTATATACTATAGGGGAGGCAAAGATCGTACTACAGTCCCATGTGGTAGCTATATACTATAGGGGAGGCAAAGATCGTACTACAGTCCCATGTGGTAGCTACATACTATAGAAGAGACGAGGATCGTGCTACAGTCCCCTGTGATAGCTATATAATACTAGATTTGATCAAAATCAAAATACGGGATTTCCAACAGGAAAATGATCAAAAGATATGTTCTCGGACTGACGATCGCTTTTATACGTTTCCCTTCGCTTCCCTTCTTTGACCAACATTACTATATAATATAAAGGCGGCAGAGAGCGTGCTACTGTGGCTTAGCTATATACCATATGAGATGTCGCTATGATATATATCGACCACGTGGCTAGAGCCCCTGTTGTAGCTATATACTATATGAGATGTCGCTATGATATCTATCAGCTATATACTATCGGGGATGTCGCTAAGATATATATCGACCACGTGGCTAGAGCCCCTGTTGTAGCTATATACTATATGAGATATCGCTATGATATATATCGACCACGTGCCGTGGCTAGAGCCCCTGTTGCAGCTATATACTATGGGGGATGCAAATATTGTGCTACAGTCCACCCACTTCCGTTTCGGGAGATGGTCGGTAATTACAGGGATAAGTAGCGGTACTGGGGAATATATATGATCATTGGGGTGGCATTTTTACCGAAATTCGATCTCGAGAGAGAGAGAGTGGGTGGGTGAGAGAGAGTGTGCGGATGAGAGAGAGTGGGGATGAGTGGGTAAGAGAGAGAGAGATGGGATATGTGGGTGTGAGAGATAGTGGGGATGTGTTGGTGAGAGAGAGTGTGTGGATGAGAGAGAGAGTGGGGATGTGTGAGAGAGAGAGAGTGGGTGGGTGTGAGAGAGTGGGTGGGTGTGAGAGAGAAAGTGGGTGTGAGATAGTGAGTGGATGTGAGAGAGTGTGTAGATGTGTGGGTGTGAGAGAGAGTGGGTTGGAGTGAGAGAGTGGGTGGGTGTGTGAGAGTTGGTGGTTGTGAGATAGTGGGTGGGTGTGAGAGAGAAAGTGGGTGGGTGTGAGAGAGTGGGTGGGTGTGTGAGAGTTGGTGGGTGTGAGATAGTGGGTGGGTGTGAGAGAGTGTGTGGATGTGTGAGTAAGAGAGAGTGTGTGGATGAGAGAGAGAGTGGGGATGAGTGGTAAGAGAGAGAGAGATGTGATATGTGGGTGTGAGAGATAGTGGGGATGTGTTGGTGTGAGAGAGTGTGTGGATGAGAGATAGTGGGGATGTGTGTGAGAGAGAGTGGGTGAGTGTGAGAGAGAGAGAGTGGGTGGGTGAAGGAGAGATGGGATATGTGGGTGTGAGAGAGTGGGTGGGTGTGAGAGAGAGAGTGGGGATGTGTGTGGGAGAGAGTGTGCGGATGAGAGAGAGTGGGGATGAGTGGGTAAGAGAGAGAGAGATGGGATATGTGGGTGTGAGAGATAGCGGGGATGTGTTGGTGAGAGAGAGTGTGTGGATGAGAGAGAGAGTGGGGATGTGTGTGAGAGAGAATGGGTGTGTGGGTGAGTGAGTGTTTACGGAAACCTTACCCACGAAGCGGCATTTATTTTCGGTAAACATGATAGAACAAAAACTCGTATATGTAGTACTACGTTCTTTGGTAGATATAACACAAGTTTGAAATATTAATCAAAGAAACATTGATAGCACGAACAATATGCCAATCAAACATTTGTAAATATACTCCCACGTGTTGCAAGAATACCCAAGATGGACCTGTGCCCGAAACGGAGCACTTTCTTTGTGTATGACGCAGAATTCTATTTTGAAATAGAAGTGAATGATATCTACTTAAAATCAAAATGAATATACTTAAGTAGTTTCAAAACAGTTTGTGCAACTTGCCGACCTTTCCATGTTGCTAGATAAGTCAAATGAAAACACAAACAAAAACGAAATTGAAATAGATCTCGGGGAAATGCAATAGCGTGGCCATGAAAACGAACAAACTGCAAATGTCCGTCAAAAAGGATGAAATAAAAAATAGACAACAGGGAAATAGTATCAGCTGGTTGGAATTTTGTTTCTGTGATAAGGTGGGTTTTTTTTAAAGGCTTTTTTGATATAAAAAAAAAAAAAAAAAAAAAAAAAAATTGCTTAGCTACGCGTCAAGCTGTAGGAAACAGCTCACTGTTCAACGGGAGGGTACTCAAGTTAGTTTCAATATATTTTTTGTGAGTATAAAGCGATATACTTGCAGCAGCTACAGATAAAATATCCCTCCTGGGAGATGTCATGCTTTACGTCCTATTAACAGCTATGGCCATTTAAGACAAACCAGAGTATCCAGAGAATAACAACCACCGTGCGGCCAGTATACCCGAGACCCAGTGGTGAGGGCTAATTATCATTCGGCCAACGCGGCTCCAATCGAAAAACAACCCAGTCACAGTTTTTGAGATCCAGTTGGTGGTAGTCTAACGCCATAAATAAAGACATCTTGCGTTATGTACAATCTGAATATAAATACAGCTGTTCATTATCACGTACCGCATGTTAATAGCCGTAGGTATTTTTTATTAACATCTGATTTTAATGAGATTGCGTTATGTAATAACCTCATTCCACTTGTCAGTTCAATTATGACGTCAACATAACATGGTATCATTTGTGACGTCACACAATAGGCTGTGTGCTGCTTGGCGACTCTGTTCGGTAACACCTCTGAGCTACATAATGTGTACTTTATTTTAGACTTTCGAGCCGTGTCTTGAACATATCTTTTAAACGTGAACATACAGTAATGGAAATTGTGGATTGTATTTATACAGAAGAGCGGGAAACCCCGCTTGAATCACATTCATGTACTGTTTACGAGGAACTACGACGAAGCGGACAGCTCTGTGATGTTGTTATGAAGACTGAGACCCGGGAGTTTCCCGTCCATCGGGCGATCATGTCGGCTAGTAGTACTTATTTCCGTTCATTGTTCACGCAAGAAGTATGTAGTACTGACCAAAAGGAAGTGGTCATTCCCGGTATAACGGCAGACATCATGGAAATTTTCGTAGAATATGCTTACACAAGAGAGGCCAAAATAACCGCCGAGAATATAGAGCGACTTTTGCCGGCAGCCGACCAGTTTCATGTTAACGGTCTTGTGCGCGCTTGCTGTCAATTTCTAGCGAAGTCACTTGAACCCGAAAACTGTATTGGTATTTATAACTTTGCCAAAATGTACTTCTGCCACAACCTGCAGAAGTTGACATATCGCTATTTGATGCTCCATTTTAGTGAAGTGGCGACGGAAAGTGCAGAATTATTACAACTTACATTTGATGAGATCTCCAGTGTTCTAGGATCTGATGACCTAAATGTGAAAAATGAAGAGATGACATTTATGGCAGTTCTTCGATGGATTGACTACGATGCCCCCAACCGGAAGTGTCACATTGCGCCCTTACTGAAAACTGTTCGATTGGGGCTCATTTCCATCCAATACTTTACGGAGAAAGTTAAAAATCATCCGTATGTGAAAGAAAGTGATATTTGTAAACCCATTGTGATCGAGACTCTCAAGTTCCTGTACGATCTAGACATGAACGACAAAGCTATGGACCTTGCAAACCCCCTGGCACGGCCGCGGATCCCACACGAGGTGCTGTTCGTTGTTGGTGGATGGAGTGGCGGATCCCCCACCAATGTCGTCGAGACGTACGATCCCCGCGCAGACAAATGGACCGTCTGTGATACCGTTGATACGTGTAAGTCACATACTTCATTCAAGTGCCAAATCAAAAGTCACGCGCGCTTTTTTATATGCTTTATATGCCTTTTTGTAACGCTATTGAAACGCTATTTATGTATGTGTAGTAGGAGCGGGGAAATGCACGGCAAGGCCGGGGTTCGGACCCGGGACCCCTAACATTTAACTCTAGACGGCCGTTCTACCAATAGAGCTCGATGGTCGCTGGCGATCGACCCAGTCCAGCTCCGCTACATATTTACATATCTAATAACATTTCCATTGTATTTATTTTAGCGGTTTTTTAATGAGAACTTAATCTCAGAGTTACTTATTACTTGTTTGCTGTAAAGTTTTGGTAAGATAAAAAGATAAACAAAATGGCGCAACAAAACATATCTTCTTTTGAATAACTCGTCACATCTAGATTACCGCTCAATTTGGCACAAGACTGTACACGTGTATGTCAATCACACCACAGTAGGAGAAACAAAATGAATTAACGTACATTTGTATAACTTAATGGTTTAATAAGAAGGTTGACTGGTTGGGTAGTCGGATGGCGCAGTGAATAGCGCACATGCCTTTCACCAAAGCGACCGGGGTTCGATTCCCCGATCGAACGTGAAAAGGTTTGGGGTCACCTGCCCTACCTGAGTTTTCTCCGGGTACTCCGGTTTTCTCCCACACTAAGACACTCGCGCACTAACATCAAGAGTGATAAATATAAGTTTAAATAACTTGTTTCATAATTGTTATAAAACAAATAAAGTTTATATTTTATATATTGGTCTGGTAAGAACACTAGGTGGTCATGAAACGCCATATTGTTTCCTCCTCAGCATGACGGTATAGGCTTGTTGTTACACCATAGTCAACATATCAATCTACTAATCAAATGCTTGCATAAAGCAAGATTAGTATAACATGACAAAATGCACTGACCTTTTCTTCATACAAAACATTTACAACATTGACATATTATATGGATCTTACCTTTCAGGAAAAAAATCAAAATACATAAAGTGTGTTCATTTTTCAGGTCATTGTGATAAAATACCTCTTCTTGTGATATTTGTTAACGTAATTCGATACTGCCTAATTCTGTTTATAGATCATCGCGCCTACCACGGGACCGTCACCCTGGACAAGCGTATCTACATCATCGGAGGGTTTGACGGCGTTGAGTACTTTAACACTGTCCTTTGTTTTAACCCAATGACAATGGCCTGGTCAGACTCTGCAAATATGCATTCCAAAAGGTGTGTATATCAAGTTTGCTTCATTTCTAATAATAGATGAAATGGTTATAAACAAATACAATGTTCATGAAAAGGAGATATTACCGTCATGTATTTCATCTCGAGGAAGCATTGCTGACCGAGGCTAAATACTGCCTCCTCGGCTTGACCCATATACCTCAGTTTTCATCTTGACAACAATATATATATGGATACACTGTATCGATGTGTCGTGATAGTTCAGTGTTATATGTACATTGTATCCATATGCTTTACACAGTTATGAGAACTGTTTATGAAATTCACGCAACGCGAATCTAAGATGTTTGTCATTTCAATAAAAAAAATCTGAACCACTATACGGAATATCAAGGTAGCTCGGATTGGGAGCCATGTTTTATAAAGAAACCAACATGGCCGAAACTTTGAAAATCAACCAATCACAAGATTTATATCTCAGGTATTTATTGACAGGTGTTACGTGAGCACGGCCGTGCTTGACGACACCATCTATGCTATGGGTGGTTACAATGGACACGACAGGCTGAAAACAGTGGAAAAGTACCAACCGACCAGTAACCAATGGTCGATTGTAACTGAAATGGGTCATGAACGCAGTGACGCCAACGCCACTTCGCTCAAAGGTAGGGATTGCCACTGATCGAGAAAGAATACACCTGCTGTTACATGAACCCACTGCATGTATCGTAAGAGGCGACTAATGTGGGAACCCCCCTGCATAATTGGGGATTTGCTTTTGTGCCCTGTACTTTTATTTCCTAGCGTCTTGCTCACCTTTGGCTTAAATGTCGAACGTTCGCCGAGGTGAGGAAAGCAACGGGTTCTGTCCCTAGGCCGGGACATACCAAAGTGGTATTTCAGTAAAGTAGCACTATAAAGTCGGCATCAGATCAGTGCTATCACAAGGAGCCAATAACACAAAACATACCCTGTCTCCAGCACACTTACACACATACACGCAAACACAAAACACACGTCCTTAAATTACCTTAGCTTTTGATATGACATTAAACCCTATACAATCAACCAACTCTCCGTATATCTACACGGTAAAGATTAATGTGTCTTTCTTAGTTTTATAAGCAATATATTCACCTCGTCAAAAGTCCATCGTTTATCAATATTGTTGCAGTTTTTGCACTCAACACGTAGCTTTACTTTTTTGTTGTTGATATGAACACAAATATTGTTGCGACATTAAAAAGCTTACAAAAGAGCATCAAAATTAACCAATATTGCATTTCACAAGGACAAAATCTCGTGAAATCTCGTGAAATCTCGTGACACCATTGAAAGCTACGTAAGATCGTAAGATCGTGTTGTAACTTCCAAACCGTAATAAGGTTTGGTTTTAGTTTGGTTTGGTTTAGTATTGTTAAACGTCCTATCATCAGCTATGATCATTTAAGGACGGCCTCCCCTGTGTGCAAGATGCATGCATATAGTGTATGCGTGTGTGTTTTGGGAGGCAGCGATAGGTTCATGTTTGTCTCCTTGTGATAGCCCGGAACTGATGCCGACTTTATAGTGCTACCTCACCGAAACATACTGCCGAAGGCACCCCGCAGGACACCCCACCCGGTCACATTATACTGACAACGGGCGAACCAGTTGTGCCACTCCTAAATTGCTGAGCGTTAAGCAGGAGTAGAAACTACCATTTTCACAGACTCTGGTATGTCTCGGCCAGGGGACGGAACCCAATGCCTTTTTCACATTGGCGAACGCTCAACTAAAGGCCAAAAGTGAGGCATTGTCAATGGAGACATTAGGAAGTAGAAGGTTGTTTAGAAAGAAGAGAAAAGACAAGGTCCCAAATTTAGTCGCCTCTTACGATCATGCAAAGGGTGCAGCAGGTACAATTCTTACGCCCTACCTTTGACAAATGCATTGAAATGAAAATGATATTTTTTATATTCTCATATTCAGAAATTTAAGGCGAGGAAAGGTGAGGACTGAATGTTGACTGAGGGTTCGATAGAACCGTCGGCACTTTCTGTAAATGAGGGAAAGTGCCGACGGTTCCCGATTGGGTTCGATAGGTTAAGGTGTGGTTTATACATAATACGAACTAGGTGTAAGATACGGGTTGATAAAAGGAATATCTCTTGGAGCCCTTTAGACTAGGTCGTTATCAACCTCGATATTTCGTTTTGAGTGTTGAAGTTAAAATGACGTAAATTTTGGTAGGGTATATTGATATGAAGGGTAATTGGCGCGGTTCAAAATAACAACAAACATATTGATATAGTAACAAAGGAAGTTTCACTTTTGTCTTTTTTGTGTCTCAATCCGAAAAATTTTACGACCACATATTTTCATTTTACGTTTTATATGGATTATCGTGTCGATATATGAAAACTATATTTGTGTGGATTTCTGTATTTGTAAAATTTATAATTAAGTATATGTTGTGTGGATTTCATTGTCTGTAGAACAAGATTTTTATTGTTATACAATACTAATATTTACATTTGCATGGCATTGTCACTATATAGCCTCTTTGAAAGCTGTGTCGTTGATGGGAATTTAATTACCATGCAGCACGAGACATAATTCTTAGCGTATTAATACAACACTGACCGGAACTACAATATCCAATGTAAATAAACATGTCGGCTGCTGAAATGTCGCTAGGCTTTTTGAGATTTGACAATGTCATTGTAAATTTATGTGCAAAATTAAAAATAAAATAAAAAATACTTTTGTTACAACAAAAACAAGACCAAGGTCTGCAATATCGTACAAAATGCACATCGGTTGAAATCACCAATGCCGGCAATGGAAACAATTTTAACGCTCATGCAATTTATCAAAAATATCGTCTGTTACAAATGTCTGAAATACACATATTGTATAGACCTACTGACACATATGTTACAGACCTACTGATATGAGTCACATAAACATTTCAGACATTTGTAATGAATGCCTGTGCTCCGTCGCAAGATGATCACTCACTTCAAACGCTATCAGTTTCACGCGTCTCGCAGCCAGTTTCCTCAGTTTCTGACGACATGTCAAATAACGAGGCTGTTATAGAATCTACAGACTGTAGTCAGATTCTCATACAATCAACAAATAAATTCACGTCTGGATTCTTCATATTAGATTGCATTCTTCACAAAATGAGCAAAGAGAAAAGTTCGAATTAACTTCCAAAAATAAGTCCCTCGTGGAGGGCAAGGTCAGGTTTACGGTGTTCACTGTATTTTTCCATGCGCTAAATTTGTTCCGGGGAAAAATCTAAACAATTTCAAATCTAATTTCAACTCAGAGTTCTATTGATAAACTTAAATCACCCTATAGACATATCATACGCAATTGTATTGATACTGAATTGTGGAATAACATTGAAGTGTTTGTTAGTTTGCCAATCAGCACGCGACAAACACACTGTTCAAACTATTGAACGAAATTGTGTGGACTGTCGATAAGGCGGGCATTTTAAATTTTAAATATAAATCATAAGTTAAAAAAGAACATAAGAGGCATAGAACACGTAAATATAAGTATTGAACTGTTTTTGTATGGTATTTATGATCTATTTGAATGACACAGCTTGCAAAGCTGTGTCATTCAAATAGATCATAAATACCATACAAAAACAGTTCAATGCTCAAGTATATATATATATGATGTATTTCAGGGTGTCTATGTAAGATCTACATTTTCATTGTCTCTGTGTTACTAGGTAAGATCTATATTTGTGGCGGATTCGACGGTCGGGAGTGTCTACACACGGCGGAGTTCTACGACCCAATCACTGACCAGTGGACCAGCATCACGCCCATGCGCAATAAGCGGAGCGGAGTCGGCGTCATAGCCTACCAGGATCAGGTCTACGCACTTGGAGGATTCAATGGGTCCTCGCGGATGAATACAGCAGAACGATTCGATCCCGCATCTTCTAAATGGCAAACAATTGCAGAGATGTATAATCCGAGAAGTAACTTTGGAGTAGAGGTATGCGAAACACTAATGTTTTTCAAGAAAGTATTACTGCTGTAACGTGCGGGCTGTCACCCATCCACTACTGGCCACGCTCGACGTTGCTGATACCGCATCTGCAGTATTTCCCCCTCGCATAGCTTAGCTGGTATACTGCCAACGTTTCCGATACGGTTGACATGAACACCTTAAGGATCCACTGAAGGCAAAATGCTAAAGAATGCAACCAAAGTTTTTCGATTGAAAAGCATTTTTAGATTTAAAGATAAATCTTAAGAAAATTTTCCTGTACTTCAGTTATCCTTCCACTTACAAATGAAGAAAATTTTAAGTCAACATAGCCTTCAACCCTCCCTCGTTAGGAGGGAGACTCCCTCATTTATATAGTTGTCAACCCTTCCTCATTAGGAGGGAGACTGCCTCATTTTGACCAATATTTACCAATTTCCCTCAGAACTCCCCCATTCAAGTCCAAAAACTCACCCAAACTCAAAATCTATGTACATCCTGTGGTCAAATGCTCTCCTAGTTACTGCAGGGTGTGTATAATTATCATAACAGGTGTGTCTGAATCATATTAATGTTTTTGGAGTTATATTGATACCAAAAAGGGAAAGATAAATTGAGCAAAGCAGTTTCATCTCCCTCATTGGAGGTTTCAGGGGTTGACACCTATGATTTAAGAATTTCCTACGTTAGTCACGCTCTTGAATTTTATGTCAGGTACACTGTATACGTTGGTTTGACTCCCTGGCCCAGGGAGCAACTCGATTCAGATATCTGAATAGAGTATTAAAATCAATGGGTCTTTTTTTATTTTCGTGACTCCCTTATTAAATGTGTCACTTGTTTGCGTTTCGTGAGTTGTGATATTTTGTTGTTTTCTTTTTAGCGGGGCAGTATAAGGTCTTACGTTAAAAATAAGGTTGATATTTTCTGTTGGGACAAATGATACTTTTATTATGTTAACGTTAATAGGTAAACCGACTGATCAGTCAGCAAGATTTAGTGGGAGAAATAATAAACAACAGGGCATTATCAATTGTGACGTAACGTCAGCCTTGACCTCTTCTTATTGTGACGTTGCAATGCCATATTCCTTGTGTCAACAGTTTTGGCATCAGATTGGCGGTTTTTCGGCAATCGTAGTAAACAGAATAGTCACTGGTAGTTAACTATACTTTAGGGATACACGATTTATTGTTTCACTTTGATTAATCATATTTCAATCGGGCTTCACCCTCGTGAAAATTGATTAATCTCCGGAAAAAACAACAAACAATCATATTTCCTTTCCGCAAGGACAATACATGTAATACACACCTATAAATTGTCGGTACTCGTGCTACATTTAAAGTGTAACTTATTTCAGGTGATAGACGACATGGTCTTCGCTATCGGAGGATTTAACGGCGTCACCACCATCTCCAGTGTCGAGTGCTTCGATAACTTGTCAAACGAATGGTAAGTGTTGTGTACCACAAACAAATGAAGCATAAGTGTGCTTACTTGTTGTTCCCTTTGCATTTTACAGTTCTTCTGGAGTGACTTGTTGTTACTTGTTGTTCCTTTTGCATTTTACAGTGCCTCTGGAGTGACTTGTTGTTCCCTTTACATTTTACAGTCCCTCTGGAGTGACTTGTTGTTACTTGTTGTTCCCTTTGCATTTTACAGTGCCTCTGGAGATACACTTTGCAATGAAATGCGCCGTTGGAGTAACTTGTTGTTCCTTATGCATTCTACAGTTCCTCTGGTGTTACTTGTTGTTCCCTTTGCATTTTACAGCTTCTCTGGTGTTACTTGTTGTTCCTTTTGCATTTTACAGTTCCTCTGGAGTTACTTGTTGTTCCCTTTGCATTTTACAGCTTCTCTGGTGTTACTTGTTGTTCCTTTTACATTTTACAGTTCCTCTGGTGTTACTTGTTGTTCCTTTTGCATTTTACAGTTCCTCTGGTGTTACTTGTTGTTCCCTTTGCATTTTACAGCTTCTCTGGTGTTACTTGTTGTTCCTTTTACATTTTACAGTTCCTCTGGAGTTACTTGTTCTTCCCTTTACATTTTACAGTTCATATTGAGTCATTTGTTGTTCCCTTTACATTTTACAGTTCCTCTGGTTTTATGTGTTGTTCCCTTTACATTTTACAGTTCCTCTGGAGTTACTTGTTGTTCCCTTTGCCTTTTTCACTTTCTCTTGAGTTACTTGTTGTTCCCTTTGCATTCAACAGTTCCTCACGAGTTACTTGTTGTTCCCCTTTTAGTTTGATGCTCTGCTGGAATTACTTGTTGATCCCTTTGCAGTGTAATGCGCAGTTGGAGTTACTTGTTGTTCTATTTGACGTTTTAATATTCTAACGAGATACTGAGTGTTCCTTTTGCAATGTAATGCTCTTAATCTGAATATACTTATTGTCCCCTTTGTAGTTTATAGTTCTGCCTGAGATACTTGTTGTTGCCTTTGTATTTTACAGTTTTGCTCTAGAGATATTAATTGTTTCAATTGAAGTGTTTTTTTGTACATTGCTGGAATTATTATTACTTTCTTTTGCATTTTATGGCCCTGCTAGAGATTCCTTTTGTTCCCTTTGCATTTCACAGTTTATGTAACAAATATAAATTTCTTTGTAGGTTTGAAGCTACGGATATGAATCTCTACCGAAGCGCCCTGAGCGCATGCGTCGTCCACGGGCTCCCCAACATCCATGATTATATTCACGGTCCAATGAAAACAATGGAGGCCTCGGAACCTGAGCAGGCCGAGGGAACAACTGCTGAAGAGGAGCTTTAATGACGTTAGGATGGGTGAAATCTGTGATTATTAGTTATAAATGTGACAAATCACTGATGATTAAGGTTTCGGGTCTGTGATCTTCTGCTGTCCATAACTCTTTATCAAAGTTACGTTGTTGGTTTTAAAGCAGTTTTAAGACTTCGTCAGTGATATTCCGCGTGATATATGGAGTTTCTACAATTGGAGTCAGTCCATTGTTTCCTTTAGATGTGTCTATGTACTTTTCTTTTCTTTTCACTTTCCATTTACTCTACAGACTAAAGTAAAGAGATGCGATTAGAAATATTGACACAAAAAAAGCATATACGTCATAAACATCAGATCAGAAATGCGTTTCATTATTATGTTGTAGTCGTCTGATTTGGGTTAAAAACCCGTGTCCAACATTTATTCTTAGTTAGCCTCCAATGTTTCGTCAAAAATAAAACCTTAGCAAAATAAATCATCTTGTGTGTGTTTTATTTAACAAGATATATCATATTATACACGCTGAACTCCATCATAATAAAAACCGTTTTGTGATATTCTGTGTGTTATATTTTGTGATTTGCATTAGTTCCACGCCTGCATCTTGATAAAGCGGCAGATTGCCTCGAAAATCCTTAGTCTGCACTGTCGGCATTACTTGTATGCTTCTATATATGTAAATGTAACCCGAATCTATTCTGTTCGTGTTTATATGGCAGGTTTGATTGGATTACAACCACGTGCTGCCGAGATTGCCGTTAGTGGATTGAAAGCCTCGTACCACATATTAGAGACGCGCGCAGCATGTTTACGTCATTTTTTTATCTTCCCGTGTAGTAAAATTGCGTTAAATTACGCAGGTTTGTGTCGTGTTGTGAAAGTGCAAAATTATTTTAGCGTTTATTTTTCGTCATTGTATTCTTTTTTTTATATCAAAATTTCATACTCTTCGTTTAATCGTTCGTCCATCACGTACTTATCTACATCAACAGTCAATAAATGATACAAATCACGAAGAAATGCCGGTTGCAAAATCAACAGAGGACAACAAACGTCAGATGATTTTGGATAACCATCTCCTTTGAACTCCATTTAAGCAATAGAACCTCAAACTTCAATTTAGTAATACTGTAGGAAACGTTCATATAACAATAACAACCTTGATAACCACACGTCCACTATTTTGCCAACAAAATGTTGGCGTTATCTGACGATACATCGAAGGTGCTGTAAGAAGATAATGGTTTGAAAAAATGGGAAAGGGCCTTGAAAAACTGTACGTTGGCGGTACGTGAATTGGTTATTGGTATTATATCAATGTGCGTCCGGCTGTAATGGGAATTCATTGCCGGATGGTCACTATGTCATCAGTTTCTACAAATCACGTGACACGGTTGCAAAGTCAATAAAGATGTAAGCTAAATGAAATTTGACACATAGGGGATATAATATAGATGCCAAAGTCTTTCTGATATATAAACGTTTGATTTTATGATTGCGCAAGTTCGCCGACAAACGTTGTAAACCAATTATGACATAGATTAGTTTATTCTTTATCATAATTTAAATGTCAAAATTGATGTGTTATGGTCAAAAACATATTTCGTTCGTCATTTATCAATGGCACAGCGTGATGATATGCTTTTTTCTACTTAGCAAGATAATAAGACACATATTGCCCCTTATGTGAATAAATTCAAGGCAGATAAATATTATTTCGGGTACGCTTATTTTCGCAAACTAAACTGTTTGTACTTACAATCGAAGCATTGATATATCGCGTAACATTGGTAATATGCAGTATTCACTCTCAGCAGATTCATTATTCAACGATTTAGAACCCCGAGTCGATTTTTTATGCGAAATGGAAATAATGTTATCGTCCTTTCCCACATCCAAAAAACTCACTATTGTAAATCAGATTGCAAAACACTTCCTCTTTTTCCATAAGACGTTTGCAATTAACCCATACTGTAAGCTTATGTTTGAATTTACACCAAGCATTGATTTATCGCGTAACATTGGTAATATGCAGGAAGCTGTGTATTGCCACTAATGGAAGCTGAGTATTGCACCTACATGAAGCAATGGATTTCCGCTTCAACAAGCAACAGATTCCACTACAGGAAGCTGTGTGTTGCCACTACAGGAAGCTGTGTATTGGCACTACATGAAGCTGTGAATTGCCACTACAGGAAGCTGTGTATTGCAACTACAGGAAGCTGTGTATTGCCACTACAGGAAGCAATGGATTTCCGCTTCAACAAGCAATAGATTCCACTACAGGAAGCTGTGTGTTGCCACTACAGGAAGTTGTGTATTGCAACTACAGGAAGCTGTGTATTGCAACTACAGGAAGCTGTGTATTGCAACTACATGAAGCTGTGAATTGCCACTACAGGAAGTTGTGTATTGGCACTACAGGAAGCTGTGTATTGCAACTACAGGAAGCTGTGTATTGCCACTACAGGAAGTTGTGTATTGCAACTACAGGAAGCTGTGTATTGCCACTACAGGATGCAATGGATTTCTGCTACAACAAGCAATAGATTCCACTACAGAAAGCTGTGTGTTACCAGTACAGGAAGTTGTGTATTGCTACTACAGGAAGCAATGATTTCCGCTACAACAAGCAATGGAACGACACTACAACAAGTAATGGATCGCCACTACAACAAGCAAAGGAACAACACTGCAACAAGCAATGGAACGACACTACAACAAGCAAAGGAACAACACTACAACAAGCAATGGAACAACACTGCAACAAGCAATGGAACGCCACTACAACAAGCAAAGGAACAACACTCCAACAAGCAATGGAACGACACTACAACAAGCGATGGAACGACACTACAACAAGCAATGGAACACCACTACAACAAGCAATGGAACAACACTACAACACGCAATGGAACGACACTACAATAAGCCATGGAACGACCCTACAACAAACACTTGAACAACACTACAACAAACAATGGAACAACACTACAACAAGCCATGGAACGACACTACAACAAACACTTTAACAACACTACAACAAACAGTGGAACAACACTACAACAAACAATGGAACAACACTACAACAAACCATGGAACAACACTACATCAAGCAATGGAACGACACTACAGCAAACAATGGAACAACCCTACAACAAGCCATGGAACGACACTACAACAAACACTTGAACAAGACTACAACAAACAATGGAACAACACTACAACAAGCAATGGAACAACACTGCAACAAGCAATGGAACGCCACTACAACAAGCAAAGGAACAACACTGCAACAAGCAATGGAACGACACTACAACAAACAATGGAACAACACTACAACAAGCAATGGAACGACACGACAACAAGCAATGGGACGACACTACAACAAGCAATGGAACAACACTCCAACAAGTAATGGAACAACACTACAACAAGCAATGGAACGACCCTACAACAAGGAATGGATCGCCACTACAACAAGCAAAGGACCAACACTGCAACAAGCAATGGAACGACACTACAACAAACACTTGAACAACACTACAACAAACAATGGAACAACACGACAACAAGCCATGGAACGACACTACAACAAACACTTGAACAAGACTACAACAAACAATGGAACAACACTACAACAAACCATGGAACAACACTACATCAAGCAATGGAACGACACTACAGCAAACAATGAAACAACACTACAACAAGCCATGGAACGACACTACAACAAACACTGGAACAACACTACAACAAACAGTGGAACAACACTACAACAAACAATGGAACAACAATACAACAAGCAATGGAACGACACTACAGCAAACAATGAAACAACACTACAACAAGCCATGGAACGACACTACAACAAACACTGGAACGACACTACAACAAGCAATGGAACACCACTACAACAAGCAATGGAACAACACTACAATAAGCAATGGAACGACACTACAACAAGCAATTGAACAACACTACAACAAGTAATGGAACAACACTACAACAAGCAATGGAACGACACTACAATAAGCAATGGGACGACACTACAACAAGCAATGGAACAACACTCCAACAAGCAATGGAACAACACTACAACAAACACTTGAACAACACTACAACAAACAATGGAACAACACTACAACAAGCCATGGAACGACACTACAACAAACACTGGAACAACACTACAACAAACAGTGGAACAACACTACAACAAACAATGGAACAACACTACAACAAGCAATGGAACGACCCTACAACAAGGAATGGATCGCCACTACAACAAGCAAAGGAACAACACTACAACAAGCCATGGAACGACACTACAACAAACACTGGAACAACACTACAACAAACAGTGGAACAACACTACAACAAACAATGGAACAACACTACAACAAGCAATGGAACGACACTACAGCAAACAATGGAACAACACTACAACAAGCCATGGAACGACACTACAATAAGCAACGGATTAACTTTTAAAAACCCCATTAATTCATGTTTTCCAAATGTTTGTGATAGTTAATAAATTTTTTGAATTCAAGAATAGAAAAACATATGTTAGCTACTTCACAACTCCGCCCATAATTAAACGTCCGTGCACTGCTTACTCGTGTGTGTTTAACAGTGAGTATAAGCTTCAAAGACCTGACCTAGATGATTGGATTTCTTCTGAAGAAGAACAGCTTATTAACAAACATTTAGTGGAATAGCGTTTGAATATTATGCAAGTTGATGCCAAATACATCTATCTTGACATATGTCCAAGGTACATATAATTGGTGAATACGGTATGAATGGTGATAACAACCAGCTTGTTTGTTAAAGAAAGATGTTTCTATTTTGAATTAACTCATAGCAGAAGATTGCAAATCTAACAGCGAACATTAGAGACATACTATTCACCAAGATGAAATGGTGTCTGCAGTCTTGACGATAAAGGTAGAATTGACAGTGTGACGTTGACAATGTTCAAACGGAAATTCTACAGACATACGTTCCGGAACGCTCAATATCAACAGATATATAGGCAAGAAATTCCCATACACAATTACCCCACTGTCATCGTGAACCCAGAGTCAGACAAATTATTACGTCATTCGTGACCTGACGTGGCTGAAACCTGTACGGCAGAAAGATTTATAAAAGGTTTGAAGGGGAAGGTGTGATAAATGTTATTTTTTTGTGAATATGTACACTTTCCAGGGAAAATTGATGTGTAATAAGTACAACCAACCAATTTATTTCGTTTAGAGATTACTTACTGTGACGTAACAACAGGTCTAAGTGTACTCTCGTCTTAAAATGAACAGAAAGCAGGTTGCAGAGTTATATAATTTCTCTGTTAACTGTATAGAATAATTATCATACTGAACAAAGGACTATAGCGTTAAATCAAAGATTGTGTTACTTAAATAAAACGAAGACAGATGGGAAAATATCCATCAACGGATGTAACAACCTCGTTATGGAAGTATAATTCAACTTAATTGAAATACATAAAAAGACATTACTAAATTCGAACGAGCTTATGCGAAAATCGTTATAAATCTTGTTATTTAATTACAAGGTAGTATTTATAGCACACAAAAGTCCAAATTGGTGAAAGATAATACAAATGAAATTAAAATCATCTGGCCTATTATATATATATATGACCTGCCATTAGTAATCGACATTGGTAGAGTGGTGCTCAATAATGCCGATTTGACTCTGATGATTAACAGCCACCCAAGAACATTGGTACTTTAGACAATATAATTCTGTAATTAAATTTCACTTTCTTGAAAGCTGAGAGTACATGGTCCCATAAGGCACGTTATATTTGCAGTTTGAAACTGTCCATGTACATGTTTGACACAGTCGTCTGCTTGTATTGGAGATATAAAGACAAAATAAAGACGACTCCATACACCACTGTTATATAACAGAGATACGTGTACAGTAGCCAAGTCTATTTTGTCAATGACTCTCTCACTTTTGTGGGACTGCAAAGTCAGTTGGGAAAACGACAATCTATCTATCTATATGTTATACCCCACAGAGACCAAAATGGCTTCAATCAGGTTTATCAGGTTCGTTTTTAGTGAAAATATCTATAAACATACAAAGATGTGATATATAAACAATATTTTATTTATTTTACAACCGCTACATCTGCGCCTGTAATCCGTGGCGAATCTAGCGATTTCTTATGTTGCCAAAAGTGTGCAGCTCTATCATACGAAACAACAAAACACCATTACCAGGAGATAAAGAACTAACGATTCCAAGACCGAGGACATTTGGGATATTTGTCTCATCCACTGTCGTTTGCCTTTCTCTTTTAGGAGATCTGGGTCTCGTAAAGCAGACCTTGATTGCAACATTTCAACGTCCTTGTGTATGACATCCCGGGAACTTTGTGTATGACATTCCTGTGACCTTGTGTATGACATTCCTGTGACCTTGTGTATAACACCACAGTGACTTGATAAACGAAATCTCTTTGACCGTGTTTATACGTCATCCTTGTGATCGTGCACACGTCATATTTGTGTACGACATGTTGTGACCTTGTGAACGACGTTCCTTTGACCTTGTGACGACATCTCTTTAACCTTGTGTGCTATATCTCTGTGACCTTGTGTACGACATTCCTTTCACCTTGTGTACTATATGCATGTGACCTTGAGTACGACATGCTTGTGACCCTGTGATCGACATCTTGTGTCCTTGCGTACGAAATCCCTGTGACCTTGTGTATGACATCTCTTCGGTATTATGTACAACACACCTGTAACCTTTTGTACGACACCCCTTTGACATTGTGTACGACATCCCTGTGAATTGTGACATTGTGTACGACACCCCTGTGACATTGTATACGACATCCATGTGACATTGTGTACGACATCCCTGTGACATTGTGTACGACATCCCTGTGACATTGTGTACGACATCCCTGTGACATTGTGACATTGTGTACGACATCCCTGTGACGTTGTGTACGACATCCATGTGACATTTTGTACGACAAACCTAATAATTGTGACATTGTGAACGATATCCCTGTTACACTGTGTACGACATCCTTCTGACATTGTGTACGATATCCCTGTGACATTGTGTACGACATCCCTGTGACATTGTGTACGACATCCCTGTGACATTGTGTACGACATCCCTGATAACTGTAACATTGTGTACGACATCCCTGTGACATTATAACATTGTGACATTGTGTACGACATCTCCGTGACATTGTATACGACATCCCCGTGACATTGTGTACGACATCCTTGGGATTTTTTTGGGATTTGTGGTTGTTTATGAATATTTTTCTCTTTGATTGTTATAGCACATGTACACAAACATTCACATTTCTGATTATGCTGTTTGTATTTCATAATAGAAAGTCATGTAGCATAGTTTCCAGGCAATTAATAAAAATTAACTTTAATCCTAATTTGTAGTGAACTATTACCCTCTCATCTTAGCTACATTTATACGCTTCGTGTTATTTAACATTTCATAAAAGTACAATATATCCAAAAAGGATTTAGAAAAAAAAAATATTATTAAAAAACTTTAAGCAGTAATTTAAATATTTTCCAAAGACAAATCATTTTCCAAAATGTGTGACAAAAGAATCCGGAAAAATACAAGGGCCCAGTTGCTCAAACGGTGATTAGCTTAGTTGGTGATTTGCGCAAATTTAATTTTTGGTGTATTTTTTTAAGACAACCATTCACTGAGTTGAACATTTTCAGATAGAATATGTAACATAAGAGTACATTACATGCAAAATTAAGAGGTTTTACTTTGTATATGGACCAAATTATTAGAGGTTGAAAAATGTCATTTATCAGTGATTAAGCTAAGCATCTTTTGAACAACTGGGCCATGGTGTTTATAAGAAAATTCTACCGTTACTGTATGACGTCATAAAAATTTAACGGCATTTCTAATTTCGTCTCTATTTCACTTTATAATAAAAGCATATATATATGACTTTATTCCCTTTACCGGAATTACGTCAATCAAAATAAGTTTCTAAAACGTAAGAGGGGATGCTGGTCTGTGTACGTGTATCATTGGTTATGATGTTATCAGATTTTTGATAAAACTAATAGGAAACTATTACTGTCCATCCAAATAAGTGAGAGTACGTACGTGAAAGTTATGATTGAGTCATAAAGCCAGCCGAGTTGTGAGCTGATGTAATGAGCTTGGTGTAAACAGCGCCATTACCATACGCCATAAAGAGCACATACTAGCTAGTATTGGTATAATAAATAATTCCGATCACTATGGCATCTCTACACAAGGAAGAACAGTGACTGCTTTAATTTCAAAATGTCTTTTTCGATATCATCGCGGCTTTTAGTCGTTCCATTGAGGTCAGCAGTGATAATGTTATATGTATCACAGGGTTTGGTTTGGTTTTATTTTTTTACGTCCTATTAACAGCCAAGGTCATTTAAGGACGTGCCTTCGTGTGTGTTGTGTATGCATGCATGCATGTATGTATACCGGAGACAGGGAATGTTTGTGTGATTGCCTCCTTGTGTAGTGCAGATCTGATGCCGACTTTATATTGCTATCTCACTGAAAGGCATCCAGCATGCATCCCGCCTGATCACATTATACTGACAACGGGAGAACCAGTTGTTGCCATTACCCTAAATGCTGAACGTTAAGCAGGTAGTAACGACTACCATTTTAAGGACTTTGGTATGTCCCGACCTGGGGACAAAACACTTTGCCTTTCTCACCTGAGAAAACGCTCAACAGAAAGCCAGAAGTAAGGTATTTCCAAGCAAGGCGCTAGGGGAAAAAAGGTAGTTAGGAGTAGAAAGACAGATAAAGATCCCAACTATTGCAATGGGTGCAACATATTTATTTTGGTCGTTTTTATGGCAAGCCAACTTAACATTTATTCAAGGAGCAACGTCGATCCTGTATTTCGTCGAATTATATAAGATTTCTTATATACATGAGATTTCTTATATATTATATAAGATATCATATAAAATAAATAAGAAATCATATATACTTCATAAGATATCTTATATCGTATATAAGATGTCTTGTATCGTATATAAGATATCTCATTTAATTTTCTCTATAAGATATCTTATGGGTGTATACTATATATATATAACATTTGGAAGAGAAATGTCATGCCTTTCATAAAATAATTTAAAAAAAAGTGCTAACACGTCCGTATTTGAAGAAATATTTTAAAAAAATTCTGTCGGAAGATTTGATGGCTGAACGTGCCCGCCTTCAGGCAGTTGGGACCGGCAGTCTTGGGCATGATTATGACGTCATAAAGCATGCATGCTACGTCGTATTCCCCGCCAGTTTCACGACTTTTTATGTGTTCCATAGGTAGAACTGACATACCCTGGTGTCAGGGGCCAAATTACCCTGCCCCAATTTGATATCAAAAATATTTAATCAAGTATATTACACTATTGAGCACTACGAAAGCGTGCATGCTAGACCCTTATAAATTCCATCATGTGAAGCTGTCAGTGTGTGTATACATGTACCATCATGTGAAGCTGTCAGTGTGTGTATACATGTCCCATCATGTGAAGCTGTCAGTGTGTGTATACATGTACCATTATGTGAAGTTTTCCGTTTGTTTCAGGTATAACATAAATAAGTAGAAATTCGTTGAGTGAGATCATAGTCGTCTTTCAATCTCCCGATTTTTCTTTCTTTCCGTTTTAGTAATTTGATAATTGATTGTCCCGTAACTTTCTCCCTTTTAATAATTTAATAATCGATCTTTCCTCACCTCGACATTTTTTCGTGTGAATGTCCAAGCCAGTCAATTGAACTGATCCTCATAGTTGAAAAATTTGCACAAAAACCGGTGAAAAATATTTTTTCTTCTTCTCAATTTGCATGTTTTGATATAGAACTCGGACTTTTCAAATTCCGTGCATGACTATCTTTTATCAGAAGTGAGTTAGTAACACCGGAGTTATCTTTCTTTTTATTACCTTTGTTGACAATAGTCAGCGGTATTTTTTTCATATTATAGCTGTCTTTTATATATATTACGCTTTTGAAGACATATAGGCATATCAAAAGAATCATTATTGTGAAAGCTAGCTTGTATTTGTTGCTGTTGCTTTTTTTAATTACAATTCCGTTTCTTTTTACCGTTTCGTAATTTACATTCAGATATCGCCGATTACCTCCCCTCATCGAAGTTCTAAAAACCAAAATGTCTCCAGATTGAAAAGCGACAGCTTTGCCTGACAGTGGGGCGTGGATGGCCTATGATAATTCAAACACATCGAGATGGATGCCCCACAAGCTTTTGTGGAGGAAATAGATTTCAACGAACTCCAATGTCATGAGGTAAATCATAACGCGCTTCAATACGGTCAATTTAAACCATCAATGGTACCTTGTTTACAAATTTTGGGGATTTCCACGTTTGTTTCAGTTCTGGGTTGCAAGAAATTTTGCATTCGTCATCTTGCGTTAGTTTATTTCAGTTGTTATGTAAGGTATTCCTGATATATAAATCGAAAAGGTAGTTTAATTGTCGTAACGACCTTTCAAAATTAAGCAATCTACTATTATTGTGGACCCTCCTTTCTTTGTAAACGTCCTCTGTCAAAAGACACTTGATCGAATGACCACGATTTAATGAATCTTATAGTCACAGAAAAATCTCTTGTGATTACCATGACAATCCTTGATATAATGTATATCATATGATGGATGAAGGCCTAAGGCCTATAAGTTACATCTCATCATGGCGCTTCATTGGACATTTAAGTTTGTGGTTTGTGTTGTAGCCAAGTATGTGTGAATAGGGGAGGGGAGTTTAATCATGGAATCCATCATTCAAACTCTACTGTAAGGAGATACATACCTGCAAACTCCGGACAGGGCTCACACTGTCAGTAGCCAAAGTAGCCACTGACTACTTTTATTTTTTATTGGCTACTAAAATCATGATGTGGCTACTAAATTGACTACTAAGTTTTTAAAAATGTATCTTTGTCCCAGAAAACGATCGTTCTACTCCTGTGTGGCTGACACTGATTGTGTAAACATAATCAGGGCCGTCACCGATCAGCGCGCGCTGTAGATCTACGACTGCGAGTTAATTAATGCTTTTGTCTAAATTGTTAAGTCAATTATCAAGCTTCAGATGGCAACAGGTGTTATAATTTGTGTACATTAATGGACAGTGGGGTCAAGTTAATTGGATGACCCGTTGACGTCAACAGTCTGATAAGCGAGTCACACGTACATTTGGCGGCGCCGTAAGCCGATCTGATCACCTTGTTCAAACACTGCATCCAACCAATTTATGGGTTTAATTTATTTAAATCAGTGTACATGTTCTTCATTTGCCCTATTCCAGTACCGTAACAAACACAAATGTGTCCGATATGCTTGATTAGAAAGTATAGTATCACCTTGAAACACCATGTCCAAGTACCGATTTTCGGCCTTTCAGATCACTTTTGTGATTAGACGTTTTAGAATTTCAAGTGATCAAGAAAATTTATTTAGCATCACAGTTATGCAGTTTTTAGAGCAGCAAACCGTTAAGGATGTATTCAACGGTCGCTTTAGTTATATTAGGTGCCAATCAACAACACGGAAATGGCCAAGTTGCGCGACGTGATGTGCTCCCCTTATAAATACCGTTATAAATTCGTCCTTTTCAAATGTGTTCTACTGGCATGTACATTTTAAATGTGTGATCTTTTAAAATATTTATATATATATTTTTTGCATAAAACATGAATTACGGTGAATGTATAATTATAGCAATATATTGCATCACTGAGGCTACTTTTGATTTTGATTTTAATTTAGATTGAATGCAAGGAATTAGACTAAGCCCACAATTAAAGGGGAATAGTATCAGCTAGTCATCAATATCTGCACGTTATGTATTTCCATTTAATCAAGCTATATCTCGTAACTACATGACCTGCTGGACACAACACAAGGATATTTTAGATGTTTGGCCATCGTCTGTAAACTGACACAAAAATTACCGGAAGTTCGTCCAGAAAGCATAAAAAGTAATCTCGGATTAAAAAACACACATAAATATGCAGTTTTGCTTAATGTACTTTTTATCTTGCTCAAAATGAGCCCATACCTGAAAAAACGGTGATATATTTCATTCATGAACCAGTCTTTTTTGTAGTCTGACAAACGTACGAAATGTCATATGCAAATGAGGCCACATCTCCTCACCTATTTTTTTCCACTTACGAAGGGCCAAGGAGACATTCTTATATCTATAAACACTGTTTGCATTGAAACGCAAACCTTGTAATGCAATTTCAAACAGAACAAAATGAGAATTAACTTACCATCAACCAAAACCGATATATAAGACTGCAGAAAAAAAAGAATAACAGGTTCTAAATTATAACTAAATAAATATAATAAATAAATTTATAAAATTACATGAATTTGTTCAATTTGACATCTTGCAAAATCAATAAAAAAAAAATGTTTTGATAATTATTTTGACAATCAAAAATATTTTTGTTATTCCAAACGAAGCTTTTGTTCTTGCAGGTCACTGTAGAGAATTTCTTTTTAGTGTATTCAAGATATCTTTCTTTGAACACTAAATCAAAATAAACACACGGAACCATATGATGGCTACTAAATCAAAATAAACACACGGAACCATATGATGGCTACTTCCGACGGGAGTTATTTGTTAAAAATTGTTTGTTCTGATTTTTAGCTCACCTGCCCGAAGGGCAAGTGGGCTTATGTTATGGTGCAGCGTCCGTCGTCCATCCATCCATCCATCTGTCCGGCGTCAACTTTTTGCTTTAAACAATTTCTTTTCGTTAAACAAAAGGCCTAGGAAGATGATATTTGGCCAGTAGCATGCTGAGATCAAGGGCTACCAAGTTTGTTCAAATAAATGACCTTGACCAACTTTCAATGTCACAGGGGTCAAATATGTTAAAATCTTCAAACAACTTCTTCTCACTAACCAAAAGGCCCAGGGTACTGATATTGGGCCTGTATAGAATGCTGGGATGAAGGGCTACCAAGTTTGTTCAAATAAATGACCTTGACCAACTTTCAAGGTCACAGGGGTTGAAATATGTTAACATCTTCAAACAACTTCTTCTCAATAACCAAAAGGCCCAGGGTACTGATGTTAGGCCTTTAGCATGCTGGGATGAAGGGCTACCAAGTTTGTTCAAATGAATGACATTGACCCACTTTCAAGGTCACTGGGGTCAGATGTCTTCAAAATCTTCAAACAACTTCTTCTCAATAACCAAATGGCCCAGGGTACTGATATTGGGCTTGTAGCATACTGGGATGAAGGGCTACCAAGTTTGTTCAAATAAATGACCTTGACCCACTTTCAAGGTCACTGGGGTCAGATGTCTTAAATCTTCAAACAACTTCTTCTCAATAACCAAAAGGCCCAGTGTACTGATATT